CTGTTACTATAGCAATGACGACTGACCATAGTTCCAAACCGAACAGACTACCAGGACGCAAAGCCTCAGGCGCCAAATACGCCGTTTTGTGAGAACAGTGGAGGTAAGCGAGGTCGTCCTCATAAGGAAATTAATTTTTCGTATCAAAACCGTGGATAAACTTTACAAAACAGGCAGATAACACCAAAATACATCATGCTTTTTCGGCAAATGTGGTCCACGTCATAGGGAATGACCTACACAATTACACCAGGGCTAGCGTTTATCCTTAGTTTGTTTTCCAAAGCACACTAAATGTGCAGAATGGTGACCAACTTAATGCGGGGGTTCTAGCGGCAAAACACAGGGAGTCATTTCCACAGCTTTATTCAGAAAATTCAAACCAGCTGGTTTTATGGACATGCATGTTTTGTTGCGCGTTCTTTTCACCTTCCAAGAAAAATATCGAACTGCCATTCTAAATTAATAAGAAGCTGCTATGCGTCATTACATCTCATTCACCTTTCAGCTTTGATATGGTGCTTGAAACTTCTCTGTCTGCCACTACCAACTTGGGAGGTTCCCTATTAAAAGTTGAGTATGCAGACGATACTGCTTTCCTTGGCTAAGATTTTCCAGATACAAAACAACCTTAATAACCTGAATAATTCTGCAACACGGTTTGGCATGCACCATACACATGCAGGAGACGACTAGATCAGGTGCAATCGAATGCCCAACTCACACAGGAAACCAAGGAAAATCATTTAACTAAGCAGTTTTGCAAACCCCAGAGGACTGACTGAAGATGACATCGTGTCTCGAGTCCGGAAGGCCGTAGGAGCCCTTGTCAACCTTCGATACTCATGTCGCCGATATGAAATCAGTTTGTCTCTCAAGAGCAGTGTATGCTTGATGGATCAGAGCCGAGGTCTCTCGTCTGTGCACAAAGTACGTACGAAGCCTTTCATGTATGACTATCGGCGCTTCCAAAGTATTGCCCGAGTCTAGCCGTACCGTCGAATTAGCAATGCTGATGAACGTCAGTTGGATTTAGGAAGAGCGAAGTCTCCCGGACGATATCCTTAGGATAGGCTGTTTAGTCTACATAAACTTTACACAATACATGGCTGTCCACTTTCCTGGTTCACTACACAACTAGACTGATTCAACATCAACCAACCGGACACGGACACCGATACTAGGCTATAAATTCCCTCTTTCATTTTTAGTGAACGAAACCATAGCAACTGGAGCAAGTGTAAGCTTCGTACACAGTTGTATAACTGAAGTTCGTCGGACGGCAGAGTGAAGTGTGTTACTCAGTTAAAACAACTGACCAAAGCCACAAGAGATAAATGAGAGGGGTGCGAGAAAACAATAGACAAAGCAGGTTTTATTGAATAACGTCTGGCTGAAATCGTGGTGATTCGAACTGACACATGGTCGGTGTGAATAGGGGAAGTGGATTCGAGCGAAAACTGCCGGACAGCGATGGAACATCAGGATAGAGAGATATGCGACGGTGAAAAATCTAACGTAAGCCCGCAAGCAATGAAGGGTGAAGGCGCCATTATAGCGTGTGACGGTATAGAGAGACTGTGTTCCATAAGGAGACCATATGATCAGAAGACCTGAGATGACTAATGCAATTATGTTACAAGCAGCTAGGTGTCTATTATGCACCTGTGGAAAGTCTACGTCACACGACATGCAGAGCAGTCAGGTAAGAATTCTGGATGAATGCTTGGTGCTAGGTGAGTCACGTCATATAAGCTGTCAGAATCGAAACAACCTACCGAATGGTACGATGAACTCTTAGTATGAATGAGACAGCCATTCCTAAATCGGGTATAAAGAATACTAACAGACACGATACAATAACTATGATGAGGTGGTCCTAGGGATGTTGGGCGTACGAAGGTTTAATATATGTAGATCTGTAGGGTATTCGGCACATATTACCCGAAGACAAGTCGAATCGACTTCTGGTTGCCGAGACTCCTAAGCGCTCACAGGGGACTGGTGCTAATCACCAAGAGAAGCAGGGCGATTGCCCGCTATTCTTTAATTGCACTAAACCTACGACGATTAGGAATTTGAAAACTCATTAGTTGTGGTGATCCTGGTAAGTATGCGACAGGGAACACGGATACACGTATGACCCCCCCCCCAAACAAGGTTCCATTTAAATTTCCGGACTGGGTGTCCCTGTGACACAACTAAATCTACCGTAGGGGGAATAAATGCTACAGCTAGAAAAGAATAAATTTACGAAAGCGAGCTTACTGAACATAACCCCAGATAGTTTCCTACACCTTACAGTCAATATTCACGGATATTCTGGTAATTTGCACAAGTTTGGGACTTCTAATAACCTCATGAAAGCTAGGTGTATTAAACGGCTACACACAACAAGGAGTCGTCTGATGTCCCGGTAAAGCAACACACCCTTATAGATTGAGAAACTTGAAATCCGCTGCTGAAGTGTGGCGTTAGAATTATCGTTTTGACTAGGTCCGAAGAGGATACGCATGATTTCGTTGCGACAAACCAGGATCCGCACGGTGCAACACTTCATGCTAGTAAGAGATGTTAATCCGACTCATTTATACGGGTTTACAGAGCATCCAATGCTAAACAACTCTAAGCGATGGTTTGCAGATGTGCACGGTCAACAGAGGATAAATGTGAGATGCACACAACCAGAGCAAAAACTTGTAAAATGTCTTGAAAAGATCTACCACAGTCAACTAGGGAACCAGTGTGTGGAAAAACCTAACGATCTGGTGTATCGGCGGAAAATACTATCGGGACGATACAGCGAGCCGAGCGTGTCGACTGATAGATAGATAGATAGACATGCGAAACATGCTTGGCCAAAGCGGATAGATAGATCGATACGCTATGAACGGAATGTGGACTTAACGACAACACAAACCACCGTTTGACAAACATCCCGGTCGATATTGCTGTAACAACACGTCCCCACTGCGTAGATAGATGGGGGACGAATACAATGTAACATACAGACAAGCGAAAGGTGTGGTAAGGATGTAACGCGGTTTCATGCGCGAAGATTTTATAGCGTGATGTGCGCCGGGCGTTCACAAGGAATGTTCATGAGTGTTTTCGGTCAGTGGACAAACAATAAAAGACTATTGTGGGAATCATTTGTATGGAATTTGATAAAACTCCAGGAAAATGGTTAGAGTTCGAATTTCAACTGACAGTCTAAAAAGATTTGACTTTATAGTATGTCTCGCATTATCTGCCATTTTGCTCAGTCAATGTCACAAGATTCAAAGACCGCTTTCCGATACACGTGAACCTTTTGAAAAATAAAAACACGGTCAGAGAAGCATTGAAGTAGCACAAGATACTGACGAAAATCCGCCTCGGGAAAGTCATGCACAGCCATGGGGGCTCCGGCTCTGAATTCGTACAGTTGAAAGTGAGGCGACTTTGGCAGTAGATACCTATGTTTCGAGAAACATAGATGGTGTGTTCAGCAATTGAACAGTAGACCAAACGGTGCAATCCTCGACTCGATCCTCGAAGTACTGACTAGATTGGCTGGCTGGAATAATTTCGATAGCGTTAGTTCTTACGGCTCACGTGTTGAACAGAACATGAACATGAATTGAGGAGGATCAGGTTAACCACACAGGGGATGTTCGCCCGGTTCAGTGATAATTTGATAACTAATGCGTCTCCGCTGTATACAGTTCGACTAGAGAGCTTTCTTAGGTGGATGTCAGACGCATAGAGCTGCTGTGCGCAACATTCATCGGACGTGTTTATCCTCCATCAGGAGTAGCAGCGATGAGACAGAAGTGAGGTATGTACTATGCATCTTCAAGAATTAGAACTATGCTAACGGATTGACACGATGTTTTAGCAAATCCAGAATTATCATATGACAAATGGAAAAGTGTAAAACTATAGGAGAAGACCGGTAGCTACTTCCCCAAATATCAGAAGGCGTTTTAACGTTGAATAAGAAGAGGGCATTGATTTTTTATAGTTGGGGTCAGTGGAGACCACATTGACAAGAAAACAACTTGGGGAAATGAAAGTTGATAAACAGCTTTGCCGTAACCACAGCGCACCAAAACAAGAATTCTCATAAGGAAACGACCTATTGGTAAACATTCAACCCACAACTGGAGAAGGCAACAATTGTACCATTTTGTTACGTCCTCACATATAGGACGACCTCCAGGCAACACAAGAACGAACGAACCACCAAGCTGTTGCAGAAGCAGAGGAGCACGTGCAATTTGAACATACAGGTACATACTACGTAAAAAAATAATAAACGACCATTATGCTGCTGTTCCTTTTGGTGTCTAGTTTCCACGTCATCCGAAGGAGGAACGAGGGCTGAGATATCGCCAACCTGCCCATGCCTAGACAGGAGCAGTCCAGATGCCGGTGTTGTGTTCGAACCACGTAGCTTCCGGTCCGTAATTTCGCACCTTGACCACTGAGCTATCCCGAGCTCTACATACCATATAATTATTTCTACCTGTAAGAACTGTAACACTGACTGGGATGGTTCTGAATGTGTGAATGGGCCGGTGTTGCGAACCACGTAGCTTCCGGTCCGTAATTTCGCACCTTGACCACTGAGCTATCCCGAGCTCTACATACCATATAATTATTTCTACCTGTAAGAACTGTAACACTGACTGGGATGGTTCTGAATGTGTGAATGGGGGCGATTCATTGGTAGATGTTCGATTAGATTGCACTATAAAAGGGTGCATACAAGAAGAGTAAGGCAACCGCTAAACTGGACAGTAAAAACAAGGCGCACGAAGCTTTATTAGAACCACTGCACAGAAATTTCAGGTGACGAGTAGGGCAGTGATTTATGCTATCATCCCATTTAACAACTACAGAGGCTCCAGAATAAAAATATGGCTACTGTGGATTGGGGGACTTTGGCAACCCAGTGTGACAGCCCACGCTGTGAAGTAAAAATAATACAAATCAAAGGTGAGAGTAACACACACTTGCTCGAAGTGGCCGAGGAACGCCACCCACAAATATAGTTTTACGCGGGTCGAGCGGCTGAGAACCATCCATGACAAAATCCGAGTCAGCAAGATTCCAAGGACGGATTTGCACCTGTGATAGGAGAACAGGGAGTTCGTGTGAAACGTGGGCATAAATATTATCACTAGTTGGGCTTCACTGAACAATATCAGGGTTAATGTATCATTCATCAGTTCAGAAGAGAATCGCCGCACTGAAGGAACCTTACAAAGTACGGAAAACAAGGACTTAATAAGGCTAGACGATCAAATGTTACGTTGTCGCCTCCCACAGAAGCGATATAAGTACTAGAGTGCACTTTTAACAATCAACTCTGCAGTCATAACTGTAAAAGAGCTCAAAGCCCACACCCATTAACTGTCCCACAATCAAGAACTAACCTACAGGACTGTCCGTTATGTTACACATCTCTGGACGATTAACACTGGAAACCACACAGCACCATAGTTCTGATGATGCGAAGCACACAAGTTACTCCCCCTCCAATAGCTAGGAGTCGCCTTCATTCCAACGCACCGTTAGACTCTCCTTGCTTCCCTCAAGTTATTTGCAACCTTTTTAGTGGTATTGTTGATAGCGTTACCTGTTCTATTAGGTATCCTAACTAATTACGCGACATTCCTGGACAATATGGGTGGTAACAGAAAGAAAGCTGGCACGAAATGTGATCGACTTTGTCGACAGCGTTTGACGCATCATACTAATACGATGGGTGAAATCAACAGGGTATCGAAATCCGGAACACCAGAAATTATGCAATGGTGCTAGAAGGCAGAAGGGGACTTGTTAGATCATGAAGGAGACAGACATCCCGACTACCGCGTACATGTTATGCCAACAGGACTGTCAAAGGTGCCTGCCCCCCGCCGCAATTGTTCTTCGCACATGATGCACCACACTTTTGTATGCGGGGCCACTAGTCGAATTTTAGCGTCGTTAGCGAGTCCCTTGTGTAGCTACGACCGGAAAGTAAACAAGATTGTTAGGCTGGGTCCATGTTGTCGCTAATATTCCTCGGATTCGCCACGTAGTTGATTTGTTATGAGGTGAATCATATACTCAGTCTTTCTCGAGGCTAAGGAGAACTACATATTAACTTTCACTTTTCCGCATTCCAACAGGCTTTCAAAATAGTACGTGACCAAATTTAGCAATGAAAACAAGCATACGATCAATAGTTGACTGCACACCCAAACCAGAGACTCGCAATGACTAAACACATTAGGCTGCCGTGGGTTCTTCCACAAGTAGTAGAATATATAATGGCTCTCAACACTAAGATATAGGTGGGAAAATAGGCACACATCTATTATTTGTAATTTCGTTGATCCACACCGAATTGGATTGACGCAAACAATCGGAATACCTCGAGTGAATATATAAAATCCCACAACCGTAAACAAGTAAACAAAAGAGGCAGTAAGAATGCTATTTTCATTATTAAAGATCTCCGGCGAAGTTATGACGGAACAACTACCAGAGTGCATCTTGGCTTTACAGCAGAAATATTGAGGCAGAATGAATTAATCTTCTGCAAATTCGAATGTTTCGTGTATGGATAGGGGCTTTGATAGGTAGTTTTGCCGTGCCTAGGTTTGTCCGTACCGGTCCTCAAGTAAAACACTAGCAGCCCATCCAACAGATTCAAATCGCAAGGACCTACACTGGCTCTCGATGAAGAACCGAACATTCGATCAGATTTAATTATCGACTGGAGTAACATTAAGTCGGCCTAGAACTGAATGCAGGTGATGCTTTTAAGCAGTGGGGTTGAATGGTGAAATTGAAAACATGGTCAGAAACGGCAAACACCCAGTGAATCTGCTCGAATCATCACAATGCAAAACGGCCTTAACACGTATCACTCCGTCTCGACACGGCTACAGACAGCAACTAACTAGTCTTCATTAGTGCCCGGTGAATTTCTAGTTCATTGGCACTAGTATAGATGCCAATGGACTCCAGCGACTAATAAACCAGGCTTGACCTACAACAAGGATTGCAAGAAGTCTGCAAGATCCTCAACACTTGGCGCTAAATAATTCAAAGTAAATAAACTCAGTCTATCACTGGGAATAATTAATACACAGAGCCCGCACAGTTTAGCGCAAAAACACGTCCTGTAGCGATAGTAATATGAGCAAAACAGACACGGGGCTAACTGGTAAATATGGTCTGAGTAACCTACAAAGACATGTGTGAGAAATTTACCATCCACCCAGTTATGGATGCGTAACTGCATAAGCCTCATTGCAGTTCGCTCAGTATCATACACCCAGCCGTTTTACAGGCGAGAAAGCAGTGTGCAACCCATAATAATAATGCTACTAATAATACTAATATAATGACAGAATGCTGAAAATATAAATAACAGCAAACAAATAATAGAGAGCAAGCACAAACTAACCGGCTTATCTTTCATCGTCGGAGAAGAAACACACCAATAGTATTTATTCTCATCAACAATGCACGCATTAATGAGGCTTTGAACAGATCGCTCGTCTTGGAACAGCAGAAAACAATAGCCTGTGCAACGCAAAGAAGAGACCGGAATGTAGCCTGACTGGCACACAGGTATCAACTTTCAAAGACAGCTGAGCAACGGACTGGATTTATAAATCTGCTCAGAAAACGAGTCGAATGGTTGTACGATAAGCTTGTCACGAACAGACTGGACCTTAGCGATGTGTGATAGTTTGTGTCTCCATGACTCACTAAGCTATACTAGGGAGGCATCCGTGAGACACTAGCAGTGTTTTATACCAAGTTCTTCAATGGTTTTGTTTAATCAACACAGTCTCCTGGTCATACATCAGGAGGTCGGGGCAGGCGTGGCGATTTGTTCTTTAAAAAAAAATCAACGTACTGGCATTTTCCGCCAAACACCACAGCATTGAGCACGTTTTTGAGCCAAAGGCTTTGATTGAGAACATTAATCGTCCTTCTGTCTAGGTCAGGGCGACCTCGAGGTATCCATCTCATGTATAACCATGATTCCTATAGTTAAGTGCAGTTGTGCAACAGCGCAGAGGCGAACGCTTGTAAATTGTCCTTGGATGGACATTTTTTTGGAAAAAAGGTATGATGAGTGGGTCTTAAGATAGTATACGATCCAATAGATATAAGCAATATTTTCCACAAAACACATCAAATGTTTTCTGAAGTAACCAGTATACATACTTCCAAGGTGGAGGTCGGGAGCCCACTAAGGGATCTAACCCGGGTGATTTGAGCAGGAGTCCAATGAACCATCGAGGCCTGGCAACTGTCGAAGAATTCGCCAGCTGATTCACCTATGTAAATGGAGGTATGTCTGAGGCTTGAAGCAGCAGGGTTGTAGAATTCGACAGTACCGATGAGCTTGTCACATTTGCCAGTTTCTTGTTAATAAAAGACAGGTAATCCGGGTCACTACGTTATGGTATCTCTTTCTTCGTCGATAATAGAGAACGGAGGAAATCCAATCGAACTGTAAAACATAACTAATGTTTGGAATATGTAATACAGCCAGGGAGATTGATCATCACTCTGGCAAAAATGGCTGTTAGTAGTGGCAGAGGCCTTACAAATATCGACAGCAGATGTTAACTCCAAATCGATCAGATGATGCCTGTCAGATCGACGGCACATTCATCGAAGTGAAGTAAACTTGGGTGCACAGGAAAACAGATAATTATGCAAACTTTACATAAAGACCTTGAAGTAATTTTCTTCACTACACAGGCCTCAGTTCATATACACCACACGTTATGGCACAGACGGAAAATCCGGGAGAAATCACAATATGTGCGTTTTCTTTACCTTTTGGAGGAAAATAGGCTTTGCTTTCTGTTTTATGAGGCCAATCAACGATCAACGGTCCAAAGCGTCGAAAGGCCGTGGTGATTTCCTCTGTAACAGAGAAATATGGGTAAGAAAAGAGATCATATCAGCATACGGAGACGAGTTAGACACTGCCTCCATAGCTCTGATGTAGGAGATTGATACGAGCTATCCCTACATAATAATGGGGCTAATTTAGGAGCAGTCATCTGTACGATTAGCTGTTCAGGATAGAACCGACTTACTACTGATCGTGCTTTACTTGAGATATCAGCTTGCTGATATCTCAGCAACGGTGGCCTTAGTGTCAGTCTCTCCAAAATTTCTGATTCAGCCTCCATATGTATATGTAGCTCCATCTCTCCATCCATCTCTGTTCTGTTCTTTCTAAGCAGAATGTTATTCAACTAAACAAGCATATTGGTACGGTGAAGTGGATTTGTTAAATACTGGTGTTCATTGTCACTGCAACCCCATGACGATGTCGCTGAGGTTTAGGAGCACCAATGCCAGTAAATAGTACTGATTACATACATGGTTTATAAGAGCATCATCATCATCATCATTATCAGCTATGAAAACTGCGTACTTGTCATACTGTGTTTGTAGCTGCCACAATTTCGTCCACCGATGTTTGGAGAAGTGGGGTAGGTAGCTGTGCATCGGAGGCTGGAGGTGATAAATTTGTGCGCAAATACATGTCTGTCAGTGGACTTTTAAGTGGGGAGATCGGGAGGGGAGCTATGCATTGAAGGCAATAGTTTGAATGCAGGAGCGCCGTTGAGGGTGCGACTGGGCCATGTCCAACAATTAGTCTCGGGGTCCCCATCCAGGGAGACGGCAATGACCAGTACAGCTGAGTTTGCTGGTAATGGCTTTGACACTTCGCTGCCAAGCCCTTGTTTGACCTCCTTTGGCTCATTTGCATGCGGAGAAACTATGTTGAACAAACAAGTGAGATCTTGGCTCATCACCTCCGCACAAGTGTGTTCCAGTATTTTACAACCGAATACAGTTCACATTCTGGTGAACAAAAACGGCCCAGTTGTTCTTTTCTCCCCCTTGGAGTAATGTTGCATCTGTTGGGAACAGCTGATGCAACTCAATCAAGTAAAGGTCATTTCAATCACCGACTACAAGAATGGTGCCACATCCATAAAATATGGGAACATACCGACATATAGTAAACAAAAACACAACGGCATTCATGGTAGTGGAGGAAGACGACAGCCGCACTGGCCTCATAGATATCTGTGAAATCTCCCATGTTTAAATCCTCGCGGTGAAAAGAAAAGCAACTTTCACGAATAATATATAGCGAAAACAGCACATATTTAGGAATCATGGTGTGTATTTTACAGTGCAACAAACTTACCCTCGTCGATATCCGGTGGAAGACCACCTACGAATACTTTCCTTGAGTATCCTTCTTCACGGGTGGGAATATTGGCGAAAACAGAATAGGGATTGTTCATTCCAATCGTGCCGAACACGGAAGGACCCGATAAGTTACGAATACTTGGAGCGTGGTTGTTTGCACCGTTGATACCACACAAACTGGGAGTATTTGTCGATGATACGGCTTGACTCAAGACCGACAACTGATTCAGGTTTGTCATGTTTGGAAACTGTTGATCAACCTCATTGAATGATGGAATGACGACGTCATCCAGGCCTCCAACGAGGACAGAACCATCATTATTGTTATTTGTGTTGGCCCCACCCGAGTTGGTGTTACCAATATTGGTGGTTTCAAACGACTTGATAACTTCCATTAATTGCTGATCTAAGCCAAACTTGAAAGTATCCAAAGAAGCATTGTCATTGTTGGCTGTCGTAATTGAAGAAGCCACTGAGGCAAAAGAGTCTCCCGAGGATCCTATGGACAATGTGTTCATAGTTGGAGGGGTGGCGATTGTCGAGGACAATGAGTGCAATACAGAACAACCACCACTATTGAAGTTGCTCGGGTAGTTCACTACGGTGCTGCAATCACCGGAAGCACTTCCAATCAGACCCACAGTACTCCCATCTAAACATGCGGTTGGGATGCGCCCGCCAGAAACAGGCTGACCTGTAGTGTTCTGGAGACCTCCGGGAATTTTGTTCAAATGGCTATGTTGGAGACCTGGGTGGTGATGCTGTTGTTGCTGTTGCCAGTGCGCCATCATCCTATGTTGTGGTTTCTTTGGGAACATGCTGTACATATTAGCCGCAACACTATTGCCAATACCCGTCTTGCAGGTGTTATTTGTATAGAAGCTGGGTGCGGTAGATATGCCACCCACGTTGACTGATGTACGGATACTGCAATTTCCTCCGGAGACTGAACTGGCTAAACCCATGTTACCCAACACGTTGTTGACATTGTTAGTTTTTCCATGCGGTGGTTGTTGCTGCGTCACTACTTGCGCCCATGGAGTTGGACTGGATCCGATAGGGCTTACACCAGAAGCCACGGGCTGACAGATACCACCAAGACCATTGGCACCTACCTTGGTTGTGTTGGTGTGACCCATATTCCAACTGTTACTTCCAAGGGAACCGAAAGAAGATTGAGGTGCAGTCGATAAAGAACTCTCCGTCCATGTGCTAGGCCTACTTACAGCGCCAAATTTGGCACTCTGGTGGCCACCGGTGATGGCCCGTTTAGCTGCTGCGGCAGCGACAGCGCTCATCAGATTCTGTGATCCAGCGTTGGAACCGTTCTCCACACCAGTGGAACTGTGCTCAACCAAACCATTTGACGCCAGAGAGGCGACAGAATCTCCGGTATATCCAAAGGATCGTAGGTCTTCGGCAGTTGTTCCAACCGTGGTAGGTCGTCCCCATAGTCCTGTTGATGGAAATCCATGCTCGCGATCCGCAGATGGGTTTTCCGAATCCCCCGAAACAAATAGTGGCAGAGTCTTGTTAATGGACTTCGTTAAACCCATAGGAAAGTTGCACATATCTCGGTCAAGTCTCGGAACACGTGAGTCCATGTGTAGCTGCGAGGCATGTAGGTTAGACACGTCACTATGTTCAAGTAACAGATCATTCTGCGATTCATTGCTGGCGGTATTTGGATTCAGACTTTGTTGGAGAAATGTAACATCGCCACAGAAAATGTTTGAATCGTCAGTAGGGCAGTTGGACTGATCCTGTACCTTCGCCTCTGCCAAACGGTTCACATTGGGAAACATCTTCTTCTCTTGTACGTCCATGTGGTAACCAGCCGGTGCTGCTGTGGATGTGGGGAATGACTGACTTCCCGGAGTGTTATCGAAGCCAGATGAGCCAGTTACTACCCCTGACTCTGTCATGGGGAGGATATCTCCAGAACATTCAGTGGATGAGTTCAGCGGCGAAAGTTGACTGGAATTCGATGGGGTCAATCGGTTGCATATTGTGTCTTTCGAAACAAGCCTTTCGCAATCACTTCCATTACGATACCCCTCGGTATTTTCATCGCATGCTGGATCGCTTCCTGCAGACAATATACCACTCGAAGAACATTCATAATCAACACAATCATTCAGGGATGGAAATATTGTGGAATCGACAACCGGAAGTTGCACGCTCAAAGTGGAGTGCTGTGAAGTGCATGAATTCGATCCCATAAACATTTTGCGAATTGATGGATGGGAAATAATGTCAATCTCCCCATTCATCTGGAAATAAGACAAAAGCACGCGTTTTAAGGGCAATCTGCCAAACCAAGTGTGATAAGTCATACCAACCTAACCACGCCAGAGGAGCAGTTAAGTGGTTTGCCTGTACTTCCTGAAACGCAAGGCGCTAGTGCGATTCCGCGTTTGAAAAGACAAGCAATTCGAAACAAGCCTTATATTGGACTAATCCATGCCACATTAACCCTAACCTCAGCAACGCCACAATTATTATCACATCAGATATAAACCTGGAATCGTGCAGCCGTAGTACCCTTTCGGTGCCGTGCCAGCAGAACGAAGCACGAGGGCTGGGATACTGCCCGGTCGCCCAAGCCTAGATAGGGGAAGTCGAAAGGTAGGGTTCGAACCATGAACCTTTTGGTCAGTAAATTCGCGCTCTAACCACTGAGCCATCTTGCCCCAATCAATCTGGAAAGCTCACATGATGCATGTAAAAGGTTCAAGCCCTCCGAAATATGCCTGGGGTAGATTCCTCCATATGAGCTGGATAGAAAGAAGAGAGTAACACACAGGCTCCAATCTGTCCCCGCTTCCGCGACCAGCGGACAGTCAAGCAGAGTGAGTTCGAACGTCCGACCCTCTTTGTCAATGTAACCCCAAGCACCTCCAGAAGGAAGATGGGGGTGAACGATAATAGGCTGAATATGATAAAGGAAATTCGACTTGAAGAAGACTAAACAAGTAGTATTACAACTGTTTCGTGATTTGACCCTACCGCCTGTATCCACCCACCGGTGAGATCTCATATCTCCAGTCTGGTAAGTAGCACATACTAGTGAGGCCTCCTGTACTATGTCACACATCCCGCCCATCTGCACTGCTCCTCCACATCAATTACAATACGGTAAACAGATCTTAAGCAAACATTCGGCGCATTTGAATGAGAAACAACCGAGTTAGCGCAACTGCTTGCGTTAAGCGAGCAGTCGAGTTTCAACCAGACTTTTTAACAAGAAAACGAGAACATCCCCACTGAATTGGTGCGTTTAAGGTACCCCCGCACCCGAAAAAAACAAAATGGACCGGAAATGCTCGCATTTTCGGCGCCAACACCACCCCCTTATGAGGATTACTTCATTTCCGAAATCAGAGGATGCGAAGAGCATTCCCTATGGCAGTTGAGGTCTCGCCAAAGAAGGCGAAACAGTAAGATTAGACAGTAAATGTGGATGTATTGGCTACTATTAGCGCATACACCTGGCGCTGACTGATGGGCTTTTCAGTGAAAGCACCACAGACAGGTGTGGTTTCTTGAATTATGTGCGCTGCAACAAAACGTGGAAGATAGCTTAGAGGGCGGACTTAAAAGTGATCGGTTAGGTTGTTTCTTTCAAGGCAAAAAGTCGCAGCCTTGATGTGTTAGATCGCAAGCACCGATGTGTGGTAACTAATTCACCTGTGCCCAAAAGTTAACGGTTTGCTGCATTATGAGAACATGGCCATTTAGTCAAAATGTGGACAGTTCAGTTCACTAAAAATCTTTACGAGACTTCAAAGGACTTGCAGCAGTCTTTCTTTGAACCTTGAGAATAGTGGAGCTATAAAATTTTTATCAGAAGGCAATGAGGCGACGAGGGTTGTGGTCGGAAGTCATCAGTGTATCACTTTGGTTCCCGAAGCCAAGTACGAACAGGCATGCCATAGTTGTCTCATGGTTAGAGGAAGAGGCTTCGTAGATTGCCTGGGTGCTGCTCATCTCCGAAAATCCGCATGGATAGGTTATCTGACCCCACATGGCCACCGTAAAGTTATGACTGTTGCGACCAACGAATGAAGCGTACGGTCTCTGCGGAATACTACGAAGCATCGGCCATGATTACCAGATTGTCGCAAAGAGTTCAAACGTGGGGGGGGGACTCTTTGAAATTCCAAAGAATGTAACTTCCCTCTTTTGGAACAGCTGTACGGTCGGTATCTCCAAATATAACCCAAACATTCACATTACAAGATAGGGTGAGAAAACCCAGTCGTATTGACCACTTCAGTCAGGTAGGCAGATGGGTATCGCTCTTCAACGCTCGTGCTACTGCCAACAATGAGGATGAGCGCGTAACAAGTCCATCACGTTGAGAACGTGTCTGTTGGACAGCACCACAAAATGCATGACCGGCCTGATAAAAGGCTGTCGTCAGACCCCAGAAAACGAGGGTCATCATTCTTTTGTAGGTACGGTAAACCTCAAGAGTTCATTGTGGCCAACACATCCGCAACCTGAATGGTATGTCCTCGAATTTCACGCGGTCCTCTGAATGAGATGGCGCAGTGGTTAGGCCGGAAACTTACTGACCAGAAGGTACGTGGTTCGGACCTAATCTCAGCATTTTGACTGCTCCTGCCTAGGTTTGGGTAATCTGGTTTTATCTCAGCTCTCGTGCTTCCTTCGGGTGGCATGTCAGCTAGGTACCGAAAGGGTGTTCGAGCAGAACGACTATTTTTTTAAATTTTTTTTGTGATTGTGTAATCTAACTGAATAATTGATCGTTTATGGTTTGAGGAAAATAAGATAACAATATGTTCGTTCATGCTAAAAGTTAGCGTATGTAATAAACAAACCACAGTGTGCACAAAACTAGAAAAATCGATTAGCACCGTTTTTAGGCGTTCCAGCTAAATTAACTGAGTCGACAAACTTGAATGCTTGTGCCACCAGCTAGATATGTGAAATCAGTATTTTTTGCATGGATACGTGCATGAAACTTTCTCTATTGAACTATTACCATATATGTCATATGTTCTGAACATGGACAACTCAGACATTTTGCTTGTTCATTGATGGATGAATCAACGCGGTCACATGGCTCATAGCCCATCGTCTATGGGAAACAATTTAAATGGAGCGACGTCATCTATCGGATTTCAGCCGAGTGTAATAGGTAGAGGTTTGTTGCCATTAAGAAACTCGAATACAAGATCAGGTACAGCTTTCCGTCATTATAAGAAATGACATACCGTAGCTGCTGAATCTGCCACACCAGGGTTGCTATAGTTCTCAGCTCCAGATCTGGTGTTCCCTTGCTTGGTAGGATACCCGGAAGCAGCCGATTATCACCCAAATTGATCGAAATACTGATCACTTGCTATTCACGGGTTATGATTACGCGTCAACCGGTTGCAGCCCTCGTTCGGTGAAACGTGTTTTTCAAGGAGAATTAACTATCTCAACTCAAACGAAGAGTCCAGACCTTAGTGGTTTGCTAGGGCGCCACAACTCACCAGATGCACGGGTAGTCTCGACGCAAGACATTTTGACAGCTTTTTGCAACTTGGTACTGGACATAAGATATTATCCAGTGGCGCTTGTTTCAGGTGCTTTGGAGGACGCTGTGCAAACTGGTATCAAACTGAGAAACTAACCATTGATAACAGACAGCGAAACCTAGTACTGGACAACCGATAATCATGATGTAGGTATTCTTTAAATCTCCCGGGTAAAGCTAAGAAATAGGCACTATTCTAAGAGGTCAGATCACTAATACCACCATCATCAGAGACAGCAACACAAGTGCCCACGCCAATGCTTCACTGCCGTACGACCACAAAGTTTATCTAATTATATCTGAAGCCTTCATGTGAAAACATAAGAGTTGATAAACATGGGACGTGTTGCTGGCCGACTACAAGCATCCTGAAATACCTGCACCATCAAACACTCAGTCAGACAATCCAGAAGAAAAATCACAGCAAATCTGCCGCTGACATCAATCAGCCACCATATCATGCATTGCCCCAAGTCAAGTTTAGGGGATCACGGGGACCTTATCCTGGAGGGCGGACGGCTCAAGTGGTTAGAGCGTGAATTTACTGACCGGAAGATCCGTGGTTCGAATCCGACCTCCGCCACTCGACTTCCCCTGTCTGGGCTTGGGCAACCTGGCAGTATCCCAGCCCTCGTGCTTCCTTCGGGTGGCGTGGCAACTAGGCACCGGAAGGGTGCTACAGTTGAATGCTTTCTTTCATGTCATACATTTTCCACGTGGAAATTGGCGTCACTCTGAAGGAGGCACAGAGAACAACACTCTTCTCGGGAGACGATGTTTCAGCATAGCACACGGCCACCGCAGATGGTGCTGGATGTTCTCCGCAACCGAAGCGCCTGCTACGCAACCAAATATCAATTTTCTAATTACCTCGTTACGAATTCATCGACGCCATCTGACACCAGCAGCGCTTTTAAACATCGGTTGTTAAAAACCTGAAAACACCTCATACCGTCTGTCCACAGATGTCATGCCTTACAATTAAACAATACAGGTCCTGTGGTAGCTTGGTACACACGATCTCCGAGACCCAGTGATGTTTTCTTGACGCCAAAAATGATGCAAATGGGCAAACATGATTTTGGTCCTTAAGATTTCTTCGCTGATTCCATCAGACACAGTGCAGTCGAAGCCAAGACAACTGTCCACAACTATCCACAACATCCGGTGCTTCTCGCTGGATCACAAGGGACATTTGCTATTGAGGAAACGTTTGTAATCAAATTTCTCAGCACAGCTCGGCGAACAAACCAACGACTATCACAAGGAGTAAGTGCAAGGGACATATCGGAGGAGGCCATCATGGTGGTCACTTTATTCAACGACACTTTTGCCTCACCTGCGTAGTTCAGAGAGGCAAAGTTTTCACCAGCAACGATTCGAACACAAGGGTTCGCCTAATTATTTCACCGATGACGAACCTGAACAAAATGGGGACAGTGGATCTCCTTGACCGGCATAAATTTTCGGAGGGAGCTTTCGGAGAGATCCTTATGCAACCTCCCACGCTCAAGTTTCAAGAAAGAAAGACCCAACCAACAGCGCACCAAAGATGTCTCCTCGAATGGTGACGAAACGTTTGCAAATCAATTGCCAAGCTCGGCGAACAGATCAACAGCCACCTGATCAATTACCAAAGACCAGCATTGTTGGTCGTCTGCAAATATGGCGTTTCTCTAACACCTGATGGAGTGTAAGGCGTCGACATAGCTTCCGCCAGGC